TATCATTTACATTAGAAGAGGTACTTTTGTAATATCACCTCATTTGGGCTTGCAGCCCTGATAGGTAAGAAGAGTCACTCAGAAGTTACAAACCTTGCTGGTGACACCCAGTGAGTGGGAATGCTCAGCTGAGCCTCGCCCTCCAGGACACCAAGCCCACTTCCTTCCTATGAAGCCAGGCCATGAGAAGAAAAGCATTTAAGGCCAACGCTGGTGGCACACACTTGTAATCCTAGCACTCGGGAGGCTGAGGTAGGAGGATCACCACAAGTTTGATGCCAGCCTGGGCCACATAGTGAGTTTAGGGCCAGCCTGAACTATATAGTGAGACCTTGTCTCAAAAACAGAATAGTTTTTAAGGAAAAACATCTGCTCAGTCATTTCCTCAACAAATATGCATTTTTCCAAGCAATGGAGATAGCAAAAAACAAGACAGTATTTTCTTGAAAACAAAGCTAGTATTTCAATACTTATCTCCCCTTCCAAGAACTCCATTTTATGAAACTAAGTAGCAGGCTGATTCTATTAAAACTCTTCAATGATTAACTCTAAAAAGCATCCTAGTTTCAATATTTTAAAAAACTTACAATGAAGGATCTGAGTTCGATCCCCGGTACAAAAACAAAAAAAACAAAAAAAACTTACAATGATAGATACTAATTCCCGCAGAAAGGAGAAGAAATGCTTCTAATCTCCACAAGCAGAAAGGCAAGGTAAACTAAGGGGCGGGTACACCACATTGAGGTGTAGTGCTACTGACCTGATGTGAACCAAACAAAAGCAGAACTGAGGCTGCTAGGATTTTACATTAAGAAATGATGATTACAGGCAGTAGGGCACATTTACCAAATGTTACAGTGCTTTACTTCTTAGCATTCCAGACACAGGCAACTCTAACAGGAAATGATGGGAAGGAAGGGCAGGTGGATTTTGCAAAAATATGCTCATTTTTCCATGTTAAAAATGAGTTATTTGGGCTGGGGATTTAGCTCAGTGGTTTCGCCGCCTGCTGCGCAAGCGCAAGGACCTGAGTTCGATCCCCGGTACCAAAAAAAAAAAGAGTTGTTTTATTGTTGGTTTGTAATGTGGTAGGATAGAAGAAATAAAGATAAGTAGAAAAGAGACAAAGAAAATAGTAATTTGTTTGTTTGTTTGTTTTTTGGGTTTTTGTGGTACCCGGGATCAAACTCAGGACCTCAAAAGCTATCCAAGGTTCCACTGCCTTTTTGCTTCCAGGAAACTCAGGCAAAACAGCTCCTCTGAGTCTTGCAGACCTAACAGGAGCTGTAACCTAAGCCCAGGCTCTTCCCAGCACAGACCTCGGCCTCGAGGAAGCGGCAGCAATGCTCTAAGCATCAAACACACACAGCCCAGCAAAGGGCAGCCTGAAAACACAGGGATCCACACCCCAGATCACTGCCCCGAAGAGCCCGAGACCCTGTGAAAACCCCGAGGCCATAAGGCACCTGTCCCTCTCGGGCCCACTCTATTCTCTCTGGGTGTAGATACCTTCCCTGTGCAGCATAAACCCTTCTGTGCCTCTCATCAATGCATCTTGTAATTCTTTTCTGTGACCCTGTGAGTGGGGTGAGATAAGGTCCCCATCTCCTCTATGGAGCACCTCCTTTGGCCCGATCAGGTGAGAGTAAGAATTCTTTAAATATTCAAGATATTAGAAAATGATATAGTTTTATCTCTTATGTTTAGGTCTGTAATCCTTTCAAAGTTGCTTTCACATGGGTACCCAGTTGTTTCAGCACTGATTGTTGAAAAGACTCTTCTTTTTCCCCCCGAAATGTCTCAGGTCTTAGCCTTATGTCCAGATGTCCCCCCTCTGACACGCCAAATCAGCCCGCTGCAGACAGGCAGGTCT